CTTGGTGAATTGCATGTAGCAAAATAACTTTTTTTTTTAATTTTTTTTTTCCAACGTTTATTTATTTTTGGGACAGAGAGAGACAGAGCATGAACGGGGGAGGGGCAGAGAGAGAGGGAGACACAGAATCGGAAACAGGCTCCAGGCTCTGAGCCATCAGCCCAGAGCCCGACTCGGGGCTCGAACTCACGGACCGCGAGATCGTGACCTGGCTGAGGTCGGACGCTTAACCGACTGCGCCACCCAGGCGCCCTGCAAAATAACTCTTTTGAGGGCAACGATTTAGAAAGAATCTAAAGTTTGTTCCCAAGGAAATAGTCGAGGAGATATATCATGACGCACATTTAAAAATTGTCTATATGCAAGTGAATAACAAGAAGACTCTATTACTTTCCTAATTTTTTTAAAAATCTTTGCTTACTTTTGAGAGAAAGAGAGAGACAGAGTGTGAGCGGGGGAGGGGCAGGGAGAGAGGGAGACACAGATTCTTGAAGCAGGTTCCAGGCTTTAAACTGATAGCATAGAGCCCAAAGCATGGCTGAAACTCACAGATAGTGAAATCATGACCTGAGCCAAAGTCAGAGGCTTAACTGACTGATCCACCTAGGCACCCCTCCTAATTCTTTCTAATGTTTTCTGTATGACTCTACCAAATGGAAATGCAAATAAAACGTATCCTATCTGCACCTGCTATTTAGGGAGGCCCTGGGGGCAAGAGGTGAGGTGGAGCTAAATGCATTGGTCTTACAATATATCTGAATATCTGAATACAAAACATCTGAAATATTTATTTCCAGAGCCTTGCTCTATGCTAGATTCTTCCCTTTCCTTCTCCAAAAGTCCCAAAATGGGTCTAGGCAAAAGACAATAAAACTTTACCTTTCACTTTTGCACACATGGGAAAGTCCAACCAGCTCACACTGTGGGCATTAGAATTATGGGCTCCCCTAACAATATGCTAAGACAGGGCTGGCAAGAATCCTGTCCTTTTTCCTTGACCATGCTCAACAATATCTAGCATGCTATCATGGATAGAATGTGGAATAACTGATTGCCATTGACTTGGAAAAAAAAGGGAGGGTCTATTTTCCTCTTTTGCTTTCAAATTTTCTAGGAGGCCCACCTGAGGCCATGACAAAGGGATGTGCATGGCCCAAGGACACTAGTGTAAGAGTGAGTCCCCTGGAGACTTTGTAAGCTTCTGCAGCTCCCTCTCTGACCAAATACAGAGTGAACCATCTTTTGCCATAGCTACTCACAATGTAGATATGGGGGGGAAGTCAAATGTAAAGAAATTGAGAGAAAATAGAATATTAATATAAATCAGAAAAACTGAATAAAATACAAATTGACTGGGTGGGCTTTAAATGTTCCCATCCAGAGACAAGATCGGTGTTTTTGGAGTTAGCCTGTGAGTTTCTTTGGAAAGAACTTAGAAATGTTCACATTCTTGAAGGATATGGTTAAAATTCAGGTTAAGAATTAACATGACCAAAGACATAAAGGGCATATGATCAAAGGATAATGAGGTATAAACAAGGAACCCCTCATAAGGAGAGTTATGAGAAAAAGATTATCTAATGAATAATGTACCTACCAGGTTGGGTTCCCCAGGTAATGGTAACAAAATCTGAGACACAGGAGGTCAAAAAATACATTTGGGATCAATTCCCTATGAAGGGAGGGAAGGGAAGCAAGATTGCTCCAAGATAGAGGTCAAACTGTGGTGTAGTCTAATCGGAGGCTTCAGCCAATCAATTGAAGTGCCAACAAGCTGAGAGATTTCTGCTGGGTACACCTCCACCTGAGGGCACAGGCATCCTTTACTCTAACATTACTTATCTCCCTATTAACAAGAACCATATGAAGTGATCCTATGTCACCATAGTCCAGCTTGAAAAAGATTTTCAATTTCATATAACTAGTTACAACAGGATTAATGACAATAAACCCCAGACTTCTTAACATCTATTGTGCACCCTTTCCATTATCACAATACCAGGTGCAAACTTTAGGTGTTCAGGTTTGTTCAATAGGGACCAGGTATCTCCGAGAAATGAACAATGTTTTTTTGGACACTAAGTTTATGTATTTGCTTTATACAGAATTTAAGTTAATTTTTCTTTCCATAATCTTTCTTTTCTGTCTTCAAATTTTCATTTTATTCTCCTACCTCTTCCTCTGTTCCACCTAATAATTACGGTATAAGCAAAATCAACTTTTTCTTACTTCTGTAAGTGATATTTTAATGGGATAGAAGAGTTTACATTTCCAAAAATCTGTAGGAACACCTGCATAATTTGTATCCCTCATAGAACTCTCTTGCAGGAATATGCTGCTAATTTTATGATTTTCATTCTAATTCTCTCCCTTCCTGTTCTAAGTATTTAAAAAATATTATTAAATAAATACTTCATTAAATAAAAAAAATACTTCATTAAAATGCCAACAAACTTCTCCATTATTTTAACAAAGTTACATATCTAAAGCTTATCATAATGAGGCATATTTTCAACACGAGATGCATATCCTAAGAAAATTACTTGAGCTCTTTAAGTTTTAGGAGTTTTATTTCACATTTGAGGGAAAATAGTAGAGGATCAACTTGTTAATATTGTGTATTTTTTTTTCTAATCTTTCAAATGTGTTTAGTAATCTACCAGCTATTTAACAGCCAGGAAAAGCTTTATAGTAATGCACGAATATTTTTTGTCAAGGCAGAAGATTCATTAAATGCTTTCATTCTTACCAGGAACCCCAGGCCTCCAAAAAGTATAATACAGTTTAGTGGGAAATAGATATTGAGGCTAAAAGAAATCTTGGGTTCTGTCCCAGCTACACTCCAACTGGCAATGGTGCTGTTGGGAGGTCACTTATACTTCTGTGCCTCTGTTCTCTTACATGATTGTCATAATGCCTAAACTGTTAGCTACACCAGGTTGCTAACAACTAATAGGCTTGAAAAGAACTAACAACTAATAGGCTTGACAAAGTCAGACACACTTTCCAAAGAGTTAATAATCTTCTTCTTTTTCTAATTACAGTAATTACAGTAACAGACTTATTATAGAAAATGCAAAAGAGAATGTCTCACCACGTGAAGATAAACTAATTCTCTTGTATTTCTGTTTAATCTCATTTGTTCTTTGTCTGATAATTATTTTGTGGGAGAAGGGGATGAGATCCTATTTCTGTTACTTCAGGAGAGTAATAATGTAAACATTCCCAAATCTCCCTAATATCAAGATTGTCAATATGACCATGCAATAAAATTTCTTCTCTTACCTTAAAACTACTCCAAAATACCTGTGACATGCTTTTTGTCATAGATCCATGAGCAAAGCAAGGCTCATTGAGATATGGATGCTGAATGGGAGTCAGAGGTAACCAGATCTCTCAGTGTCTTGCTCACACATGGGCACCTGAATGCAAATCTGTAGCTCCAGAAGATTTCAAATTACCATATTTTATGGACCTTCAAACTCACTCAGAAATAACCTAACCCTCAAATACCAAATATGGGAATGTGTGTGAGACTTCTTGGGCTGCCATAACAAAATACCACAGACTGGGTGGCTTCAACAACAGAAATTTGTTTTCTCACAGTTATGGAGGTTCAAAGTCTGAGACCAAGGTGACAGTATAGTCAATTTCTGGTGAGACTTCTCTTCTTGACTGGCAGACAGCCACCTTCTCACTGTGTTCTCACATAGAATCTTCTTGTATGTGTGAAGATGAGAGAGAGGAAGGGGGGGTGGGGAGAGGACTCTGGTATCTCTCCCTATATGTATGCTAACCTCATTGGATCAGGGTTCATTCTTATCACCTCATTTAATCTTAACTACTTTCTTAGAAACCCAAATACAAATATAGCCACGATGGCTTCCACATATGAATTTTGGGAGGGCACAAACATTCATCCATAACAGAAGCTAAGAATTTCCCATATACCATTTTTTAACTTTGAAGCATAAGCATTGTTTTTGTTATAACACCATCAGAGACATAACTTTTATGTCTAATATACTCCAACAAGAGAATGTATTCTAATTTTTTTGGGCATTTTATCTCCCTGCTATTGAGCATGTAGTAAATTGTAAGGTTTTTATACTTATAAATATTAATGTAATAAAAATGTATGCCTAAAGTTTTTCCAGTATACATTATTATTTCTTCAGGATTCCAAGAAGTTAAATTAGTGAGGCAAAGGATGTGAACCTATTAAGGGCATCAGTACAGATTGTAATTTAATCTTAAAAGTGAGAAATCTACCTTCTGCTTTTAGATACAGAAGGAGAATGTTGCCTTTTTTAGAATTTGAGGCATTGTAATAGTGAAAGGTTTGAATGGGAATGAATGAGGACACTGGCTACATTGGTGTAGTTGAAAGTACTAAAGAAAAGCACTTCCTTCTCAGTGGATTTACCTAGGGTTCTAGTAATGTCAAATACATGAGCCAGATTCATGGCAGGAAAGAAATGGCACATGATAACTAGTAATTTGAAGAGATCTTAATGAGGGTATATTTATGAAGGATTAAGAAGGATTTAAGGAAACCAGCAAGGACTATTCCAGTGGTATCCCAGTATTGCTAACAGTTGGGAGCTAATACTTCTCCTCAGTAGGCAATGTGAAGAAGCCATTCCTAGAATCCGAAGGGAAGAGCTACATAGACAAGACTGTGGAACTAGGGTAAAATAGGGTAGTATGTAGATGCACTTCACATTTATAGGTGTACTTCAAAGGCTTCAACCGAGTACCTCCTTTTGTTCTTTACATCCTATGAAGGGTTGCTTCTGGGTGAATCCATTATCATTCTATTGGCATCTTGTAACAAATCTTCTCTTGTTATATTATTAATGAACGTGGAATAACTGAGATCATTACATTGTTTTGTTTTGTTTTGTTTTGTTTTCCTATATTCCTCAGAAGTTCATGCACTAAACATTCTAATGCAGGTCTTTGTTCCCTTTGTGTTTTTGTTTTTGTTTTTTTTTTTCTTTTTTTCTCCCCCAGCCATGGCCTTATTCCTGGAGTTGCTGTTCCTGGCTCTTGTGTTGCTTCCATTCTTTCCTGCAAATGGACAGGTACGGTCAAGTTTAAAAATATTTTCAGAACGATTGAAGCAACTCTGAGGAATAGCAAGCTATTAGATCAGTTTGCAAAACTGAAAAGTACTGCAGTGTCTGGTACATCACAGAGTACTCATCTGTTGCTCGAGTACTTAACACAGTTAATTTTAAGGCTGTGATGACGAGCTGTAGCCTCTAGCCACGTGAGGGTATTGAACACTAGAAATACAGATGATCGGGACTGAGATCTGCATAAACACATGGAGAATTCAATACTTAGTAAAAAAAAGAGTCAAAATGTTTCATTAATAATTTTAAAATTGACTGCATGATGAAAGCATAATATTTTGAATCTATTAAATAAATATGTTATTTGATCTGTTTATTTTTTTCCTTTTCAAAGTGGCCACCCAGAAATTAATATTATGTTTGATACAGGGCACCTGGGTGGGTCAGTCAGTTAAGTGGTTGACTGCGTTTCAGCTCAGGTCATGATCTCACCACAGTTCATAAGTTCAAGCCCTGCGTTGGTCTCTGAGCTGACAGAGCAGAGCCTGCTTGGGATTTTTTGTCTCCCTCTCTCTCTGCCCCTCCTCTGCTCGCTCTCTCTCTCAACATAAACAAAAAAAAATTTTGTATAAGTTTGATACTGTAATTATATTTCTATTGACAGCAATGATCCACAGGTTTAAAAGCTGTCCAAATATCTTTTTTGATTTCCTTTTATTTAATTCATTACAATGTGATTTTCACAGAAAATTAACAATATATTTATATATTACATAATCTCACATTAGCAAAACTTCACATACTTCACCACATTTATTTTCATAGTTACTGTATGATAATAATTATACCTATTTTTAAATTTAAAAAAAGAAACTTTACTAGTGATATTAAGTATTTCGATTTTTTTCATGGTCTTACAATTAGTACGTAAAGAATAAGATGTTCTATTCCTTTAAAAAAATTTTTCATCTTCCTTTTTTTAATATAATATATTGTCAAATGTTTATTTATTTAAGAGAGAGAAAGACAGAGTATGAGCAGCCGAGAGGCAGAGAGAGGGAGACACAGAATCTGAAGAAGGTTCCAGGCTCTGAGCTGTCAGCACAGAGCCCAATGCAGGGCTCGAGCCTACAAACCGCGAGATCATGACCTGAGCCAAAGTCAGATGCTCAACTGACTGAGCCACCCAGGCACCCCTAAGCTTCTCTAATTATTTCTAATACACTGTTGCCCTTTAATAATCCTAAGAACAGGATGAATCATTCTCTTAAGTACTTAGTGTGTAGGTGCTTATACAATGTGTCTATCTTCTGATCAGAAAAAGTCTGGATGTGAAGTTTGGTCACTGCTGTCTGTGCATTCTTTGTTAACTCTGATTTTACGAGAACAGCTAGGGATCCTCAGATCAAAGAGTTCAGACACTAGGTCAAAACTCACACGGCATTCAGAAATACAGTCATTATATTACCACAATTAATTTTCAGTCTGAAGATAATTTGCTCATCACCTCGGTCTTCAGTCAAAAAGTTTGCTTTCTCCCCAGTCTCTTTCCTAAAGATTTTTTCATGGTCCTTACTGCTCCTCTGTTATCTCTCTGGTCCATCTCCTGGTCTTCATTTTTGAAATTATTTAAAGGAGAGAGATTTTGCTTTTTTGTACCACTAACCGTTAGCTAATCAGATTCTCTACGTACTTTCTGCCCCTTCTCAAGAATGCTAGAAAACACTTATCATCCTTTATAACCCCAATCCAGACCATCTTTTACAAAGTTTTCCTAGCCTCAATCAAGAATTCACCCTTTGTTTTTTTGTATATCTAGCAGAATCCACCTATCATTTTAGTTACAATGTAACTGATTTATATGTAATTATTTTATTATTTATGTCATATAGTCTATCGAAATAAACTTTTTAAGGATCAATAGATAGATACCATGTTAGATCTATTTTATGTTCAACACTCTTCATATTTCCTGTTACCTAATAAAAGCTCTCTTGAAACTCATTTAAAAACAATAACGACAAAGACACGTCTTCAGTAGGATTTATATCTATACAAAGCAATATAGGATATGAAGGAGGAAATAATGACTTCTTTCGCAGGGGCCAAATTTTTATGTATTTTGAAATGAAATTCTCTTAAGCAGGTTTTTGAGGGTCAATAGGAAATATCCAAGGTATTTTGAAATGAAATTCTCTTAAGCAGGTTTTTGAGGGTCAATAGGAAATATCCAAGGATGTTATTTTATGCTTTAGTGTAAAGCAGAGGTTGGTCACTGTTAATATTTCACATGCACATCCTTTCTAGCTTAGGAGTTAGTAGCTGCGAATGTGCCACATCTGTGGGTACAATGGCATTCACTACTGGTTCCTGCCTTAGGAACATACAAGCAAGCAGGGGAAATGGATGCCTAAATAAATAGTGGTGATAAACATGGCTAAACCTAAACTTACATTATTTGGAGGGCTTTGAGGGAACTCATTATTGGGGTAGGAGAGAATAACTTATCCCAGTGTGTCAGGTAAAAATCAACAAAGGGCCCTGTCTGTTTAGACTTTGACTTCAAACTCTTGCTCATATTCATGCAACAAAACACTCATGTATTAATTTAAGTCATCAATTATCTTAACCTGTGGGAACAACTCACCTACCCTAGGCTAGACACAACCCCACACACACATACACACGTACAATGATAAAATATACCAAAAATTTCAGCAGCTGATATAATACTTTATTCTGTTACTAAAAAGGAACAGAATCAGCAATGGCCCATTAATTAGATGACTTTGCTCCCTCTAAATGGCCTTGGAAATTTTTTGATGTTGCAAAATTATCTTTTGAGTGGCCCCATGAAATCAGATCATAATAAAGTAGATCATAATACATATCATAACAGGAAGAATGATTTTACTAGAGTATTTTTAAGTACTTTAAAATTTTTTTAACTTTAAAATTTTAAACTTAAAAAAATTTTTAAGTTTATTTATTTTGAGAGAGAGAGAGAGACCAGGTGCAAGAGCTTAAGCAGGGGAGGGGTGGAAAGGGAGAGAGAAAGAGAATCTTAAGAAGGCTCTGCATTGTCATTGCTGAGCCCAAAGATGTAGGGCTTGAAACCACAAACCATGAGATCATGAGCTGAGCTGAAATCAACAGTTGGTGGCTTAACCAACTGAGCCACCCAGTCGCCCCTTACTAGAATATTGAATAAACTTTGAATCTGAACATTCTTTCTCCAAATACATTCTAAATACATTATTTCTCTAAATACAGGACATGTCAGGTCAAAATTTCCTTAAAGTCTAGGATGAATCTTGAGCTCCACTCTCATCCCACCTGCTGCAGCCTGATCAAATGTGAATCAAGGTGTCTTAATGTTTCCATTGTGTACCTTTATGGTTATAAAATATTATCACTCATATGGATAGAAGCAGCACATGAAGAGTTCCCTTGAAACTAGAAATTGACATCTGTGGCCTCAGAGAATATTCTAATTTGTCATGCTCCTAACTCCATTACTATTCTCAAAGCTTTAAACTGCTTTTTCTTATTTGTCACAGTTTTGGCTCAGGTTCATTGGCAATGCTTAGTAACTACCATTGGCTTGAACTGAATGCTTCTAAAGTGATCATTGTTCCCTGGAATTAATATTTACTCTTAAATGCAATTTTTTAAAAGTAAAATACAACAAAATGTTTAACAAGCAAATTCATCTTAGGAAATATGAAATTGCCACATAGAGGAAAGGGAGGAGGCCACTGGGCTGGGGCACCGGTCAGGGAGACTAAGGACAGAATCAACTACATAAGAAACAGAGGGGGGTAGGCACCGGGGAGAGAACCAGAGGCCAAGAGAATGGGGGCTGTGGACCTAGTTAGGGAGAAGGCAGGGCACTGGGGGTTGGACAAAAAAAATCAAAATAGTTTGGCTATGCGGGGTGCCTAGAGTGTCCAACTTTGGTTCAAGTCACGATCTCACAGTTGGTGGGTTCAAGCCCAGCGTACGGTTCTGTGCTGACAGCTTGGAGCCTGGAGCCTGCTTCAGATTCTGTGTCTCCCTCTCTCTCTGCCCCTCCCCTGCTCATGCTCTCTCTCTCTCTCTCAAAAATAAATAAACATTAAAAAAAAGTTTATCAAAATAGTTTGCCCATAAATCATAAACACACTATGTTTCTACAGTGGGGAAAGGGAGAGAGTAAAAGGGAGGAGAGGCTGTTATGAGGAGGGGCTATGGGGGTCCTACCGCCCTGCTGTGAACCCCCTCCCCATCCTAACCCCTTCCCTCTATGTCTGTGAATGCATGTGTCTGTGTGGGCCTGTGTGCAGACTTCCCTATTCCCCTCCCCACCCACACCTCACCCCCACCCTAATTGCTGCCACTTAAGTTGCTGCTAGCTGTCATTCAGCTTCACTCCTCTGCCCAACTTCTTCAGAGGGGGAAAGGGGAGGAGTGGGGGGGGGGAGCAGCCCCCGGACAGCCCTGCCCCCACCCTCCCCCCTCCACTTCTACCAGAAGTCCTGGGGAGGGGGGGAGGTGGTAGGAGTCGGGGTCACAGTATTTTGTGACAACCACTCTGTTGGCAAACTTGTGACCCTTCAGGCCCTGCATGGCTTTCTGGCAGTCAAACAGGGAGGTGAACTCCAGGAAAAGCCTTCTGCAGCTGGGCACCCAAAGCTGTCCAAGGGCTGAGGGACCAATTTTAACAAATGTTAAAATGGTAACCATAATATTATTTCTCTTTAGGATCCATCCTTTGCTGCTTTGTCAACTACTCGAACACAAGTCCAAAAAGAGATTGTAGATAAACACAATGAACTAAGGAGATCAGTCTCTCCACCTGCCAGCAACATGCTAAAGATGGTAAGAGGCAGTGATAAAGGCTAGTGATGTGACAAGTCACGATAAGAGCAGGGAGCTGGTAACTGACATCTCTTAAGTACCTTGTGTTTACAGAATTTTGCTTCTATTTTGCTATTTCATTTGAGCTGTGTTATGGACAGGACAGAAATTAATTTTCCTTTATATGGTTAAATAATTTGTCAAGGGCTATTAGGTTGGGAAGGCAAAATTAGAAGCCAAATCTTCAGACATCAAATGTGAAGCCATTACACTTCTTGTTCACTGTCTTCCCTAGTCTAAAATAAAGGAGTCCCGTTTCCTTCAAAATCAGTGCCATTAAGAGTAAATAACAGTCCACTTTCCAAGGCATAATCCATAAAAGCTAGATCTCTCCCATTTGAATGCAATGGGCTGTGAGTGGAATTGGGAATAATCTAGGCCAGTTTATTACTATTGAAGTATAATTTAAATACTTCAATATATTTGATGAGTATTTAGAGTAGCACTATTACTAAAAATCCTAGGTGTGTTTCCTCTCCTATCATAATTGTCAGTGTTATTGTATTAGGTGTTTCTCTCACTAGACACATCATTTATGAACTTCGTTTCACGTGGAAATTGGCACTGGGGCCCATAAACACACACACACACACACACAACTAACAAAAAGATCCTTCATACCAAAGACAATTACAGAATATATCTATAGAAGCTTTTAAAATAGTGCAAATCAGTCTACCAATCAGACTATAAAGCATATGCTCTATTGGAGTTGAATCTTTAAGTGCATTTTTTTTCTTGTGACATTTAGGAATGGAGCAGAGAAGCAGCAGCAAATGCCCAAAAATGGGCAAACAAGTGCACTTTAGAACACAGCAATGCAAAGGACCGAAAAACCAGTATGTAAATGAGCAAATATCTGTGGAATAAATGAATAATAAAATAATATTAGAAAAATCAAATAGAATGGGACATTCAGGGATGCTGAAAAAAGACTTAGTGAATAAATTTTGCTCTTTTTAAAATCAAAGTATCTGTATAGGGAGGGATCATTATAGATACATTTTGGGCTTGTTGATTGCATTATGCCAAGAATTTCTGAAGCAATACTTCATTTATCACTCTGAACCAGCTCATGAATAAACAGGTCATGAATCATCATTTCTCCAATTTTAGAAATTATAAGATAAGGACAGGGGAGGAATGACTTCCCCAAGACACAATCTGAAGTGTCCTTACTGGAGAGTTTCATGCTTTGGGCAGGTTTATTGATCTCTGATCCACTGCCCTTTTTTGTGATATTGTGCAGCTGTTTGGTGTTTTGATATCTCCTCATTTTGTATTCATAAGATATACTGGATTATGTTGAATTTTTCCTGAACTTTGCTGTAAACATACCTAAACTTTTTAAATCATGATTAATATTTTGTGTATGTTGATTCAGTTTTTAGTTTTTGATAGTCAAGTTCTTTATATAGACTGTGTACCTATAATGCATAGAATAATGTTATATGCAAAAATATATATAACTTCCAAGAATTAGAAAAACTATTGGAGAAAACTTCTGTGCATAAACTGTTCATAAAATATTTATTTACATTATTAAGCATGACAGGCAAACCCAATTGGAAAGTAGTGAATAATTACTTGTAACTTCAGTAGAACTACTGTTATTTATATTGCTGATGCCAAAATTATAATGAAATTAGGTAACTACATTCAGTAGAAGCTTAAAACAAATGGTCTTAACATCAAGTTCTGTTAGATTCTTAGTTTCTTTCCTTCCATATTAAAGAAAATTCCCAAGAATATTTTATACTCTCTTTAAGCAGCATGTAAACATTATATTTTAATCCACCAAAATGTTAATATTAAATGAGGCCTGAAATGATAGGAAAATGTTTCTGGGCTTCAAGGCATTTCATTCTTTTTCTAAATTAATTTTATTACAGCAACAGTGCTTAAGAACACTTAAGCACATGAGACCTACATTCTTGACAAATTTTTAAGTGTACTATACAATGCTGTTGACTTCAGGTACAATGTTATACAGCAGATAGCTAGAATTTATTCACTTTGCTTACCTGAAATTTATTGATTAGTAAGTTCCCATTTCTCTTTTCCCTCATCCCCAGCCACTACCATTGCACTCTTTGATTCTATGAATTTGACTCTTTTAGATACTTCATATAAATGTATTCATGCTTGTAGTTGTCTATCTGTGACTGCATATTTCACTTAACATAATGTCCTCAAGTTTCACCCGTGTTATCACATGTTGCAAAACGGCTTCCTTTTTTAAAGATGAATGATATTCCATTGTATGTATCTATCTTATCTTGTCATCCATTCCTTTGTCCATGGACATTTAGATTGTTTCCAAATATTGGCTATTGTAAATAGTGTTGCAATGAACATGAGTGTGCTAATATCTCTTCAAGATCCTGATTTCAATTCTTTAATACTCAAGAAGTGGTGTTGCTGGATCATTTTGTAGTTCTACATTCAATTTTTTGAGGAACCTTCATATTGTTTTCCACAGCAACCACACTATTTTTCATTCTCACCAGCAGTGTTTATGATTCCACTTTCTCTACATCCCTACCATTACTTGCTGTCTTTTGTTTTTTTGATAATAGACATTCTGACAGATGTAAGGTGATATCTCATGATTTTGATTTACATTTTTGTGATGATTAGTAATGTTGAACACCTTTTTCACATACATGTTAGTCATCTGTATGCCTTCTTTGGAGAAAAGTCTGTTCATGTCTTCTGCTCAAAAAATGGGCAGAAAACATGAAGAGACACTTTTCCAAAGAAGACATACAGATGGCCAACAGACACATGAAAAGATGCTCAACATCACTCATCATCAGAGAAATGCAAGACATCACCTCACACCCGTCAGAATAGCTAAAATAAAACACACAAGAAACAACAAGTGTTGGAGAGGATGTGGGAAAAAGTAAACCCTGTGCACTGTTGGGAATGCAAAGTAGTGCAGGCACTGTGGAAAACAGTATGAAAGTTCCTTGAAAGTTAAAAATAAAACTACTTTGTAATCCAGTAATTGCACTACTGGCTGTTTATCTAAAAACTACAAAAACGCTAATTCAAAGGGATACATACATCCCTATGTTTAGAGCAGCATTATTTACAATAGTCAAATTATGGAAGCAGCCCAAGTGTCCATTGATAGATGAATGTGCAAAGAAAAGAAATATATATATATGAATGTGCAAAGAAAAGAAATATATATATATATATATATATAACTCAGCCATAAAAAAGTTTTGCCATTTGCAACAACATGGATGAGGCTAAAGAGTATAATGCTAAGTAAAATCAGTCCCAAAGAGACAAACACTATATGATTTCACTCATATGTGGAATTTAAGAAACAAACAAACAAGTAAAAAGAGAAAAGGAGAGAGAGAGAGAGAGAGAGAGAGAGAGAGAGAGAGAGAGAGAGAGAAACTAAGAAAACGATTCTTAACTATAGAGAAAAAAACGAATGGTTACCGTGGGGTGGAGATGGGGAATGGGTGAAACAGGGGATAGGGATTAAGGAGGGCACTTGTCTTGATGAGCACAGGGTTATGTATGGACTTGTTGAATAAGTATATTGTACACCTGAAACTAATATAACACTATATGTTAACTATGTTGGAAAAATAAATTAATTAATTAATTAAAATAAAATAAAATAAAATAAAATAAATAAAATGCTAAATGAAAAATGATAAAAAAATATACAGAAAACAAAACAAAACAAAAACAAATCTTCTGCCCAGTTTTAAATTGGGTTAATTTTTGCTATTGGGTTATGTGAGTTCTTTATATACTTTGAAAGTTAACTCCTTATCAGTTATATGCTAGGCAAATGTTTTCACTGTTTCCACAGGTTGCTTTTTCACTTTGTTGATTGTTTCTTTTATTTTGCAGAGCTTTTTCATTTTGTGCAGTTCTACTTATTTATTTTAGCTTTTGTTGCTTATATTTTTAGTGTCACATTCAGGAATTCATTGCTAAGATCAATGTCAAAGAGCTTTTTCCCTATATTTTCTTCTAGGAGTTTTACTATTTCAGGTCATATGTTTAAGTCTTTAATCTATTTTGAGGTAATTTTTGTGTGTGGTGTAATTTAGGTGTCCAAAGTTACTCTTCTCCATGTGGCTGTCCAATTTTGTCATCATCACTTCTTGAAGAGAGTGGGGTTTTTTGCCCATTGAGAAGAATTAATATTGTTAAAATATCTATGTTACCCAAAGTCATTTATATACCTGTTGGCTGGTTGTACATATTCCTTGGAGAAGTGTCTGCTCAAGTTGACTGTGTTCACAAAAGATCTTTAGTCAGTTCCTCAGGCAGCCCCCATAAAAGATGGAGATTTAGTCATCCCATCCAATTCTTGCTTTCTCATGGAAAGGCTAGGAGCTAGGGTTTTTTATCTGCTCACTCTGTGCTGAACCAAGAGAGTCTATGGCTACTGCCAGCCCAAACCTCTATCTGTTCTCATTTGCCCCAGGGAACTAGATTATGCTGGGTCTAGTTCGCATTCTCAGAGACACAAGTCAGAAGCCAGGCTTTGGGGCAGCCTCTGGAAAGTTTGTGGCATTGGATACCCAGACCAACTCTTCCCCCACCCCTACCCCCCAGGGAGAACCAGGTAGCTGTGGTATTTGTTCGCTTGCTCTTTTCTGAGCTGAAGAGAGGAGCCATGGCATCTACCAATACAAAACACCATCTGTGTTCTCCCTCCAGGGGGGCAACACTGTGCCAAAGCCATCAAAGCTCCAAGACTGGCAAGAGAGATGTCAGATTTTTGGGAAGCCCTGGGGAAATAGCATTGGACACACCAATCAACTCTTTGCTTCCTCAGAAAAAAGAAGCTGAGAGCTAAGATTTTTCATTTGCTTGCTCTGTGCTAAGCCATGGGGAGGAGATGTGATATCTACCAGTCCCAACCACCATCTCCATTTTCCTCCGGATGGCTAGCCTGTGTCTGACAATCAGAGCTCCAAGACTAGCAAGACAGAAGCCAACCGTCTGGGAGTTTTCCTTAAGGAAAGGTTGGGGGGCTGGACAAATGAACCAACTCTTTCCTTCCCCTGGGAGAAGCTGGGAGATACGGGATCTCTTCCTGATTATATGGCAGAAACTGTGCTGCGGGTAGGCATTCTAGCAAGAAGGTGTCCTAATTTCCCTACAGGCTTCAGTTTGTCTGGTTCATATTCTCCCAGGGTATAGAAGCCTTGCAATTAGTTTTGGATTTCTCACAAGGGCAATTTTTTTGGGAATTGTTGCTGAATCAGTGTGTTTGTCGGGGGAAGGAGACTCCAGGGCTTCCTACGCCACCATCTTGCTGATGTGACCCTCTGCAAGGCTCTTCTTACCTACTTCTCTGAGGAAGATTTGGTCTGATGACATTCTAATTTATTGATTAAGGGAGGATCCAAAAACTTTGAAAACTGCCATCTCCCCTGATGTCAGTTCCCTCTTAATTGGGACTCTTAAAGACTACCTGTAGAACATTTTTTCCAAGTTCACACAAAAATCATACCATAAACATTTACTCATGGTCCAATATATGAAAAGTATCTGGTGAAAGTAGGCATGAAGAAGAAAAAAAAGAATAAAAGTTGGTCATTACCCTTTGCATGCTTACAATACAAAGCTGAGACTACAGGAAACATTACACATGTGAAGAATTTTGCATGGAAAAGAATGCATCTCTGACACCCCAAAAGGAGAAGGGTTTTTAAAGCATAAGATCTTCTCAACCTATTCAAAATTTTGCATGTTCGGGTCAGCCTCAATGTGGTAGACAGATTTGTCTTCTATTCAGCTTAATAGTTGGTAAGGACAGAAGCTGTTTTATTACGTGTTAAGAGTTGGCAAGCATAGGCACTGTTTGAAAGGCAACATCTTTGTGTTCATTTAGTTAATTTCTTTTGCCATGGCATGCTTTATTGCTTCATTGTGATCTGGTTCTCCTTAGGTACAAACTGTGGTGAGAATCTCTATATGTCATCTCACCCTAAGTCATGGTCAGCCCCAATCCAAAACTGGTATGATGAGAAGGACAATTTTATCTATGGTAAGGGAGCAAAGACTGCTGGTGCAGTTGTTGGACATTATACCCAGGTAAGGAAAACAAATTAAAATACTTCTGCCACAAATGTTCTAATATAGAAAGCTTCTCCAAATTATGACCAACCCATGTTCAATTTGCGTGAGAATGTGAGTATACCTAGTAGCCTTGGTGTTGGCCCGTACTTCATCTAAAGCTGTCATTTATTCCTTGGCTGGCAGAACTCTTCATAGGGAAGCACACCCTGTATTTTCCCAACATTATAGATGCATAAAGTGAGGAATGTATATGAAAATTCAGTATTTTAAAATGTGTGATTTGCTTCAATAATTGAACTAAATATTTCCACAAGGCAATACCATAATGATAACTTTTTTTTTTTCAGTTTTACAATTGGTACTATTTGTTTTTCAATATTTTCCCTCTTTCATGTACTCTCCTATGTTCCCTTCCGGATTTGTAGGTTGTCTGGTACTCCTCTTACCACGTTGGATGTGGAGTTGCCTATTGTCCCAATCAAGATATTCTGAAATATTACTATGTTTGCCAATATTGTCCTGCGTAAGTATACGCTTTAGAGCTGAATGCCAATAATCCCATCTGCAATTTAATATTTTGAAATTTTCGTATATTGAACAAACTACAATACAAAGAATATTTCAATAAAAAGAAGGAATTGTGTCTTTGGAAATGCCTTTTAAGTTGAGATACATTCAATTTATCAGAGAATACACCAGGTTTTCAGTTCCAAGTGTAAAATCTGAAACTCTATTTCCCCCAATTACAGAGTGACATCTTTTCTCTCAGTGACCTTTCCCTTGGGCTCACAGCTAATCAATGAGCATGGGTAGTGTGCATTTCTGTGGATTTGATGTCATTGGTTCTCACTAACTTCATACTCTAGGAAGGTGGCAGCTTGATGGTTAAGCAAGGGATGGACTGGGAAACTGGGAATGGCTGATTGTGATTTCAGCTCTTTCTGCTAAAATGTTCCCACCCCTGCTTATCTAAAATGCTACCTATGCTATTACCATCACAGATGATTCATTCATTGGCTCTCAAAGGTTTTTTCAAGAGATCTTTAATGTATTTCAGAGTCCAGGAGAGAAGAACATCCTTAACCCTTGTTTTTCAGAAGTTTGCACAAAATCTCCATAATGAACCATCCTTTAAGGTCCTGACTTGCAGCAGGAAATGTGTTCTTTCATCAAAGATTATGTTTGAACTTACCCAGAATAAATTCTGTGGATATACTGAAGATCTAGTCTCAACATATCTGTTAACCTTAATTTCTTTAAATGTTTGAAATTCCTTGCCATCGGGGACAGGGGGACCCCTAAAACCAAGGTATCTTCAGGCTTTATTTTGAGACTGTAGATAACCCAAGTATATGGATCTCCTGTTTGAAAAGTATGACTCCCAATGTCATTTTCCTGCAAGGACCTATTAGGGTTTAGTAGAAAGAATTGAAAAGTTCCTAGGAGAATGCATCTAAAGTCACTGTCTGGCTCTAAGAAAGGAGGATCTGATGCCAGGTATCTGAAATGAGAGTTGGAGTGAATAATGAGGGAAAGCAGGGGTGAGAGAACTTCCAGAACATATTTGTGTCTATTTCACATTTTTCCAGGGGCTTACACACATTCGGGTATATTCTGTGCAGGGGCTGAGATTTAGATGCATGGCGTTGTGTTGTCGGCCTACTTGGAGCAATCGAGATTTTGACTGTCTTATATTTTCAGATAATAACGGCCAATCGAATAATATTCACCAACGAGGGGTAGACTAGTTACTGTAAAACCAATATACCTTAGCGATTAGTGTTAATAAAACCATTTTTCTACAATTCCCTCTTTTTTAAGTATTAAAATCTTACACACAAAACCTCTAGACATTCAAAAATCTTCCTGTCACCCCTACTCCCAAATACAACACACCAAAAATCACTTGAAAATCATCACCCCCATCTAGAGGCCAAAAGCATCCTGGGCTTTACCTTCTCTAGTTCATATTTAAAAATTATCATATTTTCTTTTTTAAATGTAAAATTACATGTAACTTTAAGCATTTTCCCTATGGCAACCCTTTCTTTCCCAGGAACTTGCTGTCTCTCTAAGAAATATGTTTTATCACCAGCCAGCACCTTGGGGTACATTGCTTTAGCAATTGACCACATCTTCTGGGTGAGAAAGAATGTTGCCATGTTGAAATATACTCCAAATATTTTAGAGCCCATTTATCCCATTTCAGTGTCTCAGGCTGGGAGATTATGGTCAAGGAAGTAAGTGAATGTGTGAGTTATTTTCTTACTTTACATTGGTATCTGAGTACATTTTCGGAATTTTAGTTTTTCAGTTATTTGACATGATTAAAAACACTGAATAAATACTCAGGTATTTGTGGTGATAGGTGCCACCCTAGTAGCATAAACTAAACTGAAAAATGAAAAATGTTTGACACTTTGTATTTCAAATTTCAGTGGTAATCATCTTAACAAGATAAATACACCCTACCTAGAAGGAAAGCCTTGTGCCAGCTGCCCTCATGACTGTGACAATGGACTATGCAGTAAGTTTGAAGTCATTAACTTGCTAGTACATCTAATAAAATGGACTGACCTTTTTTTTTTAATAATTAGGAAAATTCAGGCATCTGAATGGCTCTGTCAGTTAAGCATCTGACTCTTGATTTTGGATCAAGTCATGATTTCAGGTCAAGCCCCATGCCAGGCTGACAGCGTGGATCCTGCTCAGGTTTCTCTCTCTCTCTCTCTCTCTCTCTCTCTCTCTTTCTCTTTCTCTCTATGTCTCTCCATCAAAATAAATAAATAAACATGAAAAAAAGAATTAGAAAATCTTCTGATTGTAAACCAACTTAAGCAATTCCCTCATGCAAAAGACAAAAAATATTCAACAGAGGGTGTTTAATCAAAAAATGTACACAAGCCAGTATCTATATTTATTTGTAACTAAAACCCTGTAACCATATATATCCTAAAGAAATATCTACCATCAATGTATATTTGTGCTTATGTTGGACTCATTACCTATTGGCATATATAAAAATGTTTCTGTGAAAATATTCATTGTAATTGAATATTTTTCCTGTCAAAATTAATGTAATTGTAGCAAAATTTCATTATTGCATTTTAAAAAGAGAAAATATGTACAAACATAAAGGTATGAGATCACAGATATGGTTCAGTCCAGACACCAAACATTTCTTATACACCAATGAGTTCTTTATACTAAATTCATTTTTCCCATAGTATAGTTAGAATAATCAAGTTTAATTTAATAACCATTTGCACTTGTGTTGTTAGTAATTTTTATATACTTTTAAAATGTCAATCAAATCCTTGTATAGCAATATTAACTCACAGAAGTCTAAAAAATATTTTAGCAAAAGGACTACATTTAGTGTCATATATCTCATTTTCAGTGTTGTTATGAATATAAATACTAAGAGTTGGTATTTTTGTTTGGTTGGGATATGTCATTAAATTATTATGAATAGTATAATGGACCCATTATCTGAGATTTTTACCTTTCAGATGCATTCACCAGACTAAACTGTAGCATTCTCAGTATACTAAACTGTATACATTCTCAATTGTATAGTTCCAATTCAGAATATTGATGATATCAAAGCTATACATCAATTAAATAAAATACTTACACATCTGATGAATACTATTTGTTAATGGGTTTGGAATTTATCCTGTTAGTAATGAGCAACCAATTGAAAGATTTTTAAACAGAAGAGTGATGAAGTCAGAATTGTGTTTTATCAAGATCTGGCAGTAGTATGGAGAAACAAGTGGATTCAAGCCAGCTTGGAGACTGTTGAAAACATGGGTTCAAAAGCCAAATGGATGTTTTTACTGCATTAGGACAAAATGAATGAAGAGAAGTGGACAGTAATGAATGACAGGAAAGAAGTAGAATGGCTACTGTTTGTTACTTGCATTTGTTGAGTGCTGATAAAAAGTAGACAGCCATGAGTTCATATTGATTCCCAGTATCTGGTTTGAATTATTTAGTAGTTAAGTTTCATTTCTCTGATACTGGGGGAGTTGAGCTGGGAGTTGGGGAGGGACTCCAAAGGAATGCCAAGTTTGCAGGTAAAGTGATGAATTTAGTTTGAGAGTTAATTGAGTTTGTGGCCACTGAGGGACTTCAAAGTGGAAATGTCAGATAATTGTAGTAAAATTCCCTCCCATTTTTGTATCCACATCTTCTCATAATGGTTTATTATTCTTGAAATAAAAACTAGTGGCTCTAGCATCTATATGGAGCAACAGTGTCTAATATAACTTTTTGCAATGATGGAAATGTTCACTCTTTGCACTGTCCTGTAAAGTAGCCACTAGTCAGATTGGTCATGGAGCACTGGGAATGTAATATGTGTCACTGATAACCTGAAAATGTATTTTCTTAATTTTATTTAATTTTAATTAATTTAAGTTTAAATTTAAACAACCTCATGGCTAAAGGCTACAATTCTGGACAGTGCAATTTTAGAGACTCATTTACATTTATTTTATTTTGTTTTCTGAGGAAGAAAAGTAGGTCAATTCATCTTAGAAACATTTCAAAAAGCTCAAATTTTAAAAGAAGTGGTGGATTAATGTGTCCCTTGACATCATAGTGTAATGATGCCAACTTGTTTTTTCAATTGTGTTCTCCCCACTTGCATTGAATGTATTGTTTGTGTTGCTGCTATAGAGGAAAATTATAATGAACTAATTTCTTTGTTTTTATTTCAGCCAATGTTTGCAAGTATGAAGATAAATATCAAAACTGTAATGATTTGAAGAAAACACTATCCTGTGCCCATAGTCTTCCCAAGGACAGTTGCAAGGCTTCCTGCTATTGTAAAGATAAAATTTATTAAATACCCAATACAGACTGAGGGGGGCTAAGTAGAGAAGGGCCACACTATCTACTTAGATGTGACATTAGTAAAGATATTGTCAGCATGTTGGCTACAAACTTGATTCCAAGTAATAAGGAGTCTTTTTCTCTTGGATCTACTTTTTATTTTACAGAAATTTCTTTCATCAAAGGATTAAAAAGTTACATAATCTATGATTATATTATCTGTTGCTCATGTAAAAATTATGAGCGATAAGGAAATTCTGAGAAACCATTACAGACAAGAGGAGACTAAGAAAACATGAGAACTAAATGGAACGTGGTCTCTCAGATCAGATTCTGGAACACAAAAAGGTCTTTAATGGAAAAAGTGGTGAAATCTGAATAGGGTCTGAATTGTTTTTGATAGTAATGTCTCTTTCTTATTCTTGACAAATGTCCTAGGGTTATACAAGATGATAACATGAGGGGAAACTGAAACTGGGTGAAAAGTATATAGGAATTCTCTGCACTATCTTAGCAAAATGTCTATAAATCTAAAAATACTCCAAAATAAAAAGTGCATTAAAAAAAAAAACACTTTTCTTGGCTCCATAATGCTTGGAAAATTCTCCTCTTGATTATCCGGTTATTCTTTCTCAGACAACCCTCCCCCAGTGTCTCTACTCCATTGCTAAATGTTTGATTTTATTTTTTTTCATGGACCTTCCAGATAATACCAATGATTGGACTGTCAAATTAGACTCATATCCTTATCCAGTGTCAAGATTCACTATTTCAAGGTCATGGGGTAAACAGAAAATAGGGAGAGGTTCAAGATCATCAATGCAGTTCCTGAATGTTATTTAAATTTTTTCAACACTTACTTATTTTTAAGAGAGAAATAGAGAATGAGCAGGAAAGAGGTAGGGAGAGAGGAAGACACAGAATCCAAAGCAGGCTGCAGGTTCTGAGCTGTTAGCACAAAGCCCAACTCAGGGATCGAACTCAAGAACAATGAGATCATGACCTGAGCCAAAGTCTGATGCTCAACTGACTGAGCCACTCAGGCGCCCCTTGAATGCTATATTTGCAGCACATTCCTTAATATCTAAAGTGAAAGTCTTCTTAGTCTACTTTCAAAATCTTTCCATTGACTTCTTAAGTACTTAGGATAACACTCTTAAACTGATCTGCAAGAAGTTGAATTTTTTTTTATACTTTCCCTTTAACCTCACTTCATTCCTCTCTCCTTTATTTCTTATGCTCTAAGTACAATGATCTTATCAAATTCTTTCAAGCTCCGCAAGATTTTCCATACCTAAGGGCATTTTTATTTGCTATAGCTCTGTCTGAAAGAGTCATCCTTCTAGTATTTGCTAGAATAACTCCTTCACATTAAATGCCACCTTACCCAAGAGATTCCTTTGAGTATTTAATCTGAAGAACTCCCTCCATTTTCTCTAATAGCTCCTTATATTTCTTTTACAATAATCATTGCAATGTATAATAATTCATTCCTGTATTCAATAAATATTTATTGAAAAATGTCTCCGGTATTTATTTAGGTACTTTGAAATAGGGTGATTAACAAGAGAGACCAAGTTCCAAACTTCATGGAGTTCAGACTTTCATACAGGAAAGAGGAAGGAAATTATTTGCAAATAAATACTTAAGATATTGGAGGTGGTAAGTGCTATGAACTAAAATGGGCAACACAATAGAGAATAAAGAGGACAGACTAGAAAAATGTTAATAGGAGAGTCAGGTACATCCTTTCTGAGGATGGATTAGAATCATAACAGAAGTGAGAGAACAATGGATAAGATAATTTGATCAAAACAAAAACAGAATAGTGAGTATAAAGTTGTTAAGGTAGGAATACAGTTAGCATATTTGAGGAAAGGCAAGAAGACTAGAATGACTGAAGTGGAATGAGCAAGATAAAGATCATTTTGAAAGCAGGTCAGAGAGTTGGGCAGAAACTTAGTCCCATGGTATGCCCTAGGGCACATAAAGAATTAGGATATTGTTGTAAGCAAGATAGCAAGCCATGAGAGTGTACTGAAGAAGAGAGTGAGATGATGAGGTACAGACTGTAAGAGAATAAGAGTGGGAGCAAAAACCCAGTTAAGATACTATTGACTAGAAGAGAGATTAAGTTAAACTGCACTAGATTATAGATATACCATGTATACAGTGCATATCGTGCAATTTCAGGATTATTTTTGTTTATGTCATGACAGAAAACAGGAGAACTATTTCCCAACTCAGGCTAGCATTACCTTATGCCAAAGGCAGACAAAGATATCACAAAAGAATAGAAAACTACATACTATTATTTCTCATGAACATAGATACAACATCTAAAAAGGATTATACACCTTGAGAAAGTGAAGTTATTGAAGGAATAAAGTGTTATTTCAACATTTATAAATCAATTAATGTCGTATACCATTTTAAAATAAAGGTATATATTTAGATATGCAAAAATGCATAAAGAGATGCAAAAAATATACTTGACAAAATTCAACACCTTTAATGAAAACAATTTTCAGAAAACTGGGAATAGAAGGTATCTTCCTCATCTTAATAAGAAATATTTTACAAAATCCTCCAGCTAGCCTTATATGTAGTAGTGAACAACTGAATTCTTTCTTTATATTATAGGTGAAAACAATATTAAAGTATTTTTTAATCTGGAATCCCCTAACAGTAATAAAGCAAAGCTATCAGTTTGCACCACTTTGTTCACATTGTAAGTGAACTGCCAATGCAGTAAAATTAAGAAGAAGAAAATAAAAGCATACAGAGTGGAAAAGGGCACTGGGTAGGTGTCCAGAGACCTAGGTTCCAATCTTGCTCTCCCTGGACTACCTACATGTAACCTTGGGGGAAGATGGCAGAGTAGAAGGACCCTAAGCTCACCTTGTCCCACAGATACAACTAGATAACATTCACATCAGTGTAAATAACCCAGAAAATGATCCAGAGACTGCAGAACAAACCTCACAACTAAAAGTAGGGGGGATGCCACATCAAAAAAAGTAAAGAAGGGTGAAGACACGGTTTGGGAGTGAAATGAAATGGACCATGGCCATCCACAGTGGGGAGAAAACCAGTGGCATGAAGAAAGGCAAAAAACAGACTTTCATACTGGGGAGCCCACAAACAGTGAAGACAAATTCCTGTAACATTTGCCTTTGAAAGGGGGCTGAATTTTGTGAATTCTTACAGCCAGAATCAAGACTTAAAGCATACAGTTTTAAAAATCAGTGGGCTCTGTCTCTAGGAGAGCCCAGAGGGCAAGAGGAAGGTGAATCCTTGCCCTGAAAGAGCACAACAAACAGCCCATTCAGATACAGCACAGAACCAGCAGTTTAAAAAAAGCTGGTGGCAGATGGGAGGGAGACTGATTTGTTCATCTCAGAGTGGTGCCTGGAGAGAGATAAATCATGGGAAGACCCCTTTAGGAACAAAGGACCTGGCAAGTGCCATTTCCTTCTCCTGCCCCCCAGCATAAACAATGGCCACCTGTGGGAAATAAGCACCAACACTCTTACCTAACTTGCTTGCACCAAGCTTGCCCACCCCCTGTATCAGTGGATCCACCCTTCCCAGTCATGCTTGTCTCATTCCTAGCATTGTGTGCCCCCTTCCCCTCCCAGAAGACCACCACAAACTCTGTCAACACCACATCTCCCAACCCTTGTGTTTTGTTGGACCTCAGTTCCTGCAGCAGTGAGGACAAGTATCATTTCCATGGATGCAGAAAAGGCATTTGACAAAGTACAACATCCATTCATTATAAAAAGCCTCTCCTAAGTAGGTCTAGAGGGAATATACCTCAACAAAATAAAGGCCTTCGGGAAAAACTCAGAGCTTTTCCCCTTAGGTCAGGAACAAGACAAGGATGTCCATTCTCAATCCTTTTATTCAACATAGTAATGTAAGTCCTAGCCAAAGAAATTAGACAACATAAAGAAATGAAAGGCATCCAAATTGGTAAGGAAGAAGTAAAACTCTCACTATTTGCACATGACAGAATACAGTATATTTAAAAAAAAAAAAGACTCCATCAGAAAACTACTAGAACTGATAGGTCAATTCAAGAAATTCGCTGGATACAAAACCAATATACAAAAATCTGTTGCATTCCTATACACTAATAATGAAGCACCAGAAAATGAAATTAAGAAAACAACCTCATTTACAGTTGCACCAAAAACAAATATTTAGGAATAACCTAAACTAAAAACATGAAAGATCTGTACTCTGAAAACCATAAAACACTGATGAAAGAAATTCAAGAAGACACCAATAAATGGAAAGACATTCCATGCTCATGGGTTTGAAGAACAAATATTATTAAAATGTCTATATTACCCAAAGCAATCCACAGATTTCGTGCAAGCCCTATCAAAATACCAACAGCATTTTTCACAGAGCTAGAACAAGGCCCCTAAAATTTGTATGGAACCACAAAAGACCTCAAATAATGAAGCAATCTTGAAAAAGAAAAGCAAAACTGGAGGTTATCACAATTTCAGACTTCAAGTTACATTACAAAACTGTAGTAATTAAAACAGTATGGTACTGGCATAAAAATAGACACATTGATCAGCAGAATAGAACAGAAAACCCAGCAATAAACCCACAACTGATAGTCAATTAATCCTCAACAAAGGAGGAATGAATACACAATGGGAAAAAGACAATCTCTTCAACAACAGTTATTGGGAAAACTGGACAGCCACATGAAAAGAATGAAACTGGACCACTTTCTTTCACCATACACAAAATTATAAAGTCAGAACAGATTAAAGACCCAAATGTGACACCTGAAACCGTAAAATTACTACAAGAGAGCACAGGAGCTCTGACATCAGCTATAGGGACACTTTTCTAGATCTGTCTCCTGAGGCAAAGGAAGTAAAAGCAAAAATAAACTATTGGGACTACATCAAAACAAAAAGCTTCTGAACAATGAAGGAAACAACAACTAAAAGGCAGCATACAGAATGGGAGAAGACATTTACAAATGACACATCTGATAAAGGGCTAGTATCCAAAATGTATAAAGAATTGATTATAACTCAACACGCCAAAAACAAATAATCCAATTAAAAATGGACAGAAGACATGAACAGACATTTCTCCAAAGAAGACATACCAATGGTCAACAGACATGTGAAAAGATGTTCAACATCACTCATCATCAAGGAAATGCAAATCAAAACTACAGTGAGATATCACTTCACAACTGTCAGAATGGCTAAAATAGAAAACAAAAGAAACAACAATTGTTGAAGAGGTTTTTTGGAAAAAAAAAAAAAAAAAAGGAACCCTTGTGCACTGTTTGTGGGAATGCAAACCCGTGCAGCCATTGTGGAAGACAGTATGGAGGTTTCCAAAAAATTAAAATTAGAATTACCATATGACCCAGTAATTTCATTACTGGGTGTTTACCCATAGCATATGAAAACACTAATTAGAAAATATATATGCACCCCTATATTTTTGCACCATTATTTACAATAGCCAAACAATGGAAGCAGCCCAAGTTTCCACTAATAGATGAATGGATAAAGAAGTGATAAACACACACACACACACACACACACACACACACACACACACACCCCAGAATATTATTCAGCGATAACTAGAATGAAATCTTGCCATTTGCAGCAACAGGGATAGAGCTAGAGAGCTTAATGCTAAGCAAAATAAGTCAGTCAGAGAGAGACATAACATACGGTTTCATTCATATGTGGAATTTAATGAAACAAATGAGCAAAGGGGAAAAAAAGAGAGACAAACCAAGAAATAGACTCTTAAGTATGGAGAACAAACTGATGGTTAGCTGAGGAAAGGTGGGTGTGAAGAATGGGTGAAATAGGTGATGGGGATTAAAGAGTTCACTGACCAAGATGAAAAAATAAATTAAGTGAATAATAATTAAAAAAAAAACGAAGAGAAAGGAAAGGTAGAAACTGTCCTTATTTGCAAAATAAAATGATTTTTGTAGAAAACCAAAGGAATCTATAAAATAGTTGTAAGAACTAATAAGCAAGTTTAGCAAGGTCACTTGTTTACAGGGTGGAGGGGGAGGAGAGTATATTACATGTAAAGGAATAAGGTAAGAATTACAGTGGATTTCTCTGCAAAGTTCATGCAAGATGCTACCCTCAGCTTTCAGGCACTTTCAACACTGCTCCTTTGAGCTCAGCACACTGTTAACTTTTTATTTTACTTGAATATTTAGAAGCACTTGTACTATTCCTTTCAATAGTGGAGTTGTACTTTCAAGTGCCTCAAAACCTACAAGGTTTCTTCTGTTCTGAATTTGCCCTCCATACCAAATTCATCATCAACACTGCTCTTTTAATCTCTTCACATCCCAACCATTTGTTCTATTTCTACTGCTCTAAAATTAATATGGGAAAATGTCACCATCTTCTTATTTTTTCTGTCACCAATTTCTCCACTCTGTGAATCACCCCGCACAACGTTATTAGGTACCTTTTTAAAAAAGTTTTTATTTAAATTCCTAATTTACTAAATGTACTAAATTCCTAAATTCCTAAATTTATTTAGTTGATACACAGTGTAATATTAGCTTCATGTGTATAATATAATGATTCAACACTCCCATACATTCATTATACAGTGCTCATCACAAGAAGTGCACTCCTTCATCCCCATCACCTCTTTAACCCAGCCCCCACCTACCTCCTCTCTGGTAACCATCAGTCTATTCCCTGTAGTTGAGAGTCCATTTCTTTGTTTGCCTCTCTTTTTTTTCCCCCCCGGTGCTCATTTGTGTTTTTTTTCTTAAATTCAACATATGAGTGAAATCATATAGTATTTTTTCCTCTGATTTATTTCGCTTAACATAATACTCTCTAGCTCCATTCATGTCATTGCAAATGGCAACATTTCTTTCCTTTTTTGTGGTTGAGTAATATTCCATTCTGAAGCTTTTATAAAATAATATTTGATCATAAAATTTCCCAACACTCAATGAAAGTACATCCCATGTTATATAAAGAAGCGAATCTTGTTAGACTTCTACACAAAGTTATGCCAACATTTTCACCAGCCTATCATTCTGACTTATATACACCTTATAATACATTGATTTGTCTGTTTCTGCCCTTCCAAACAAGTGTTCTAAACTTTTTTTTTCTAATCCAGCCATGCACATTTTTCAAAGAAGTTCAAGTGTCACTCCACCACTTAATTTTTATCCAGATTGTATCAGCTCAGAATTCCTAATTATTGTAGATATTTCCTATTCCAGCTACTTAGAACTAAACCGGACTGCCTGGTAATGTTCATGTGTATGTATTTTTCCTACAGTACTATATGTCTTAGAGGAAAGACATGATGTGCCTTCTTCTCTGAATTCCCTAAGAATCTAGGCCAAATCAATATATTTATTTTCTCAACAAATATTTATAAATTATTACTCAGGTAACTGGTATCATGCTAGTCTTGACATATAGCAATAATCTATAGAGATACAGTCCATTTTTCAAATACATATTTACTCACAATATCTATCACTACCACACTCAAGTTGCTCTCATTTTGACATCATCAATGGGAACAGGTAATAATTATAGGTATGCTGTCTCCCAGAATGAAAAATAGGATATTCACAGTAAATTATAGACTGTTATAGGATAACAATGAATTGTGTTGTCCTAATAAAAAAACAAATGGACTAAGCAATTCTATTTATAAATAAATGAGTAGCAACTATGTGGATATAAGTAATTGAAATGTTAAACTAATAAGCTAAGCAAGACACAATGAAAACATGAATATAACAGTGAGAAAGATAGATCCGGGGCTGGATTTTGTAAACATTCAGAAGGGCAAACTGTCAGGAGTTAACTTTGATTGAACGTAACCATAAGAGTAAATCAGGCTAGGATGACTTCTAAATTCTGAAGTTTTTAGTTAGTGGTACTTGAACTAAAAGAGCAGTACAAGAGAATTAAAATAACGTCTGTGCATTGGGCACTTGGAATTTTAACACTGCCAGGGGAAAATGACACTCAGCACTATGAGACATGGCAGTTTGCTATAGTCTCAAAGGTTGGAATGAGAAATTTCAAGCCTCTTCACAGGGGGTACAGAGAACTAACGTGTGATGCACATTGATCCTTGGTTTATCATCTTTTGACCAAATGTATTCTTGGTGTGATGAATTCATTCATTCCTTTAAATCTTGAAAACAACTAAGCATTGAAGAAAATGCATCTATTACTCATCTGCCATCTGTGAAGACAGACAATAAATACATCTTCAACCAAGGCCAGATATGCCTGCTGCACTTGAAACCACCGGTCTTGGATCAGGAATTCTGGGCATTTTCCTAAGACCTGTTCCTGTTACTCTTGTTGAATTTCTTCACTACAAACCATTTTGGAAGGGAAGAAGGGAAGGAACACTAACTGAACTAAGTTTGAACACTAGGTTTGTTTATAAGCAAACCTGCAAAAGGTCCTCTTTATGTAACCCTGAATACACTATTGTACCAGACTGGTATTGCACTGAAAACTTAAGGTATCTATGGCCTTTACCAATCTGCTCTTTAAATGCTGACCTGTGTTAATTCAGGAACTCTTGTATGAAAAGGAGCGCCTCCTTTTTCAGTCACCCCTTGCATTTTGAATCCTGGTATTATTTCCATCTTCTTCCTAGGGTTCAATTGTGGGAGCAGACATTTCCCTTCCTCAAGGGAAGGTGTGCAAGATTTTTTCTGCGCGCCATTGGAGGGGAGGCGGTTGTAGGAATTCAGTAAGCTGACGACTGCGCTGAGGGCACAAAGCCCGTGACGTAGCTCCTCGCTCACACCTGCTTGGATGAGTATCTTACTCTCGCTGTCCAAGCAGCGAGCAGCAGCCTCTCTCTGGCTCCATCCACCCTGCAGGAAGATCTGGGCTCTGGAGCCAGGGTAAGACTTGCAGCAGTCTGGGAAAGGCAATGATCAGGGCCCGGGAGGTGGGGTGAAGACGAGAGAGAAAGATCTGTGGGGTGAGAAGTCTTCTGGTCCTCCGCGCCTCTTCTGGGACTCTGGTGGGCACATCAGCTGATCAGTGCAGATGCACGCAGAGTTTCGGTTTTGTTGCATATCTCTGATCCACCGAAGACTTTCAACATGCCTCTTGATGTTTATCCAGTTGGAACTCTTTACCTGTCTTAAAAGATGAATCATTCCATTTACATGAAATGCTCTGATTCATAGCTGAAGCCTGAAGTCATTTGTAAATCAGGCCTTTCATGAGGTCAAATTAAGAACTTCAGTTTTTTATTTCTGTTGAATGCACTGTTATTAGGAACTATATATTGCAGGCAATTAGAATGATGGCTGTTGACTCTTCTGGACTACATGTCATCTACTGGCTTCCAGGGAAAGACATGAAGACATGTAGGTGTGACACCAAATCCATGTAGTAAAAGGTTACTCTGCGGGTGACTACTTATAGAAATTATCTTCCAAGAGTGTATAAGGATTTGGGAATCTGGAAAATATACCGTGGTATTCCAAGGAAGTCAGTCAGTCAATAGTTAATTGAACTTGTTTAAGAAGCCCACTTCTTTGCTACTGTTTGAAGGAAATACCAAGATATCAAAATATAATCTGATCTCAGAAGGATTCTTGATGGGTAAGATCAAATAAATTAAAATTACTAATATTAGTAATACTAAACACAGTTAAGCTTTAGGTTTGTGACAGAGATGATTAATACTACTTATTTATGCTTTCCATCTTTATTTTAAATATTGTCTTTTTTCCCCTATTCTAGGATTATGAAACTGAACATCATGCTCTTCCTACAGACACCGTAGAACGATGTCATCCCAGTCTTAAAACACCTGCAAGAAAGGGGACAGTACTTTTCCATTAGTAAGTACCAAGGGGGAAATGGCAGCCAACTTTTCAGCTCTGTATGAATGTGGATTTTTCCATTGCTTTCATTGATGCAACAAAGATGATTATAGGTTGGGTAAGTGACGGGGAGGGAACAGGAGAGTGGTAGGGAGGAATATGTGGCATCATAGTCTGTTGAATTATGGAATTGTGGATCATCTAATATAATCCCATTGAATGATTGAGCTATATAAAATTACCCAGCTAATGTGTATATCTATCAATGAGCTGATGAGGCTGCAACAGTCCAGATGTTAGAACATTTTTTTTTAAATTACAAGATTCCTAGTAGACCTGGGCCTTGAACATGTGAATCTCCAATGAGATTATGCTGATTTTTTTTCCTATGATACCCAGATGTAAAAACAGATCTTATGACACTTCTAAAATTAGAAATTGAGTCAAACAACATGCATTTATGGGAAGATCTTACAATCTCAGCAAACTATCACACATTGTAAAGGATCATCATAAAAATATTAATAATTTCCATTTACTGAGTATTATATTGCAGACACAATGTTAGGTGCTTTATGTATGTTGTGCCACACCCTTTGCAAACCAAAGCTGTTGATGTGATAGTCCCCATTTTACAGCAGAGAACCTTGACGCTCTGGATTTCTGAGAACTGATGGTTTCTAAAGACTATGTTTAATAAGCCATAGAAAGTTGCTAATTAGGAATTAAAAGAAAGCTGAGCCACAGAAGTTCAACTGTAAGGTAGGACGCTGGTTATCTTCACAATGATTAACCAGTCATCAGTGGTTATTATAAAAATACTAGGTCAAAAAAGCAGCATCTAGAAGAGGGGGCGGGGCTGGTTAGGGAGGGAAGGCATGCTGTATTAACTTGTGTTAAAAGCTGTATGGAAACTAAATAATATCAAAAGCAATGCCAGACAACTAGCAATGAAATTTGAATATATGGGTGTGAAAAATTCTGTTTCAGAAATCTATTCATTTAGGTTTACTTGCACAACCAGAATTTGCTAAAATATAAATAGACGTAACATGTATTGTGCTCTAAGGTCGTCTCCACCTCCCTTCTTTCTACAGGTAAAGCAAATACTTCATCCTGCTCTGAGAACCAACAGTAAGTGATAACTCATTTATTTTAATGTGAACGTTTATGTGTCAGTCATCTTTGTTTTTCCAGTGGTAAAAATAATATATTTAATACGTTTATTTATGATTTTCAAAACGTTATGGATAAATTTTTATTAAGAGAATCAAGTTAATTTTACTCTTTACTCATTTTATCAAGTTGAAACTCTAATTCTTTACACTTCAGCTTAAAATAGATAATAGAATTCTCGTGTTTGACTTCGAAACAATTATTCTGGAACCATCTTAACTAGAAGAAATGTAAATATGGCAAATTGCATATATTATATACTTCCATATTGATAATTTTTGCTATGAACATGTATTGTCATGTATTAATACAGGTATTGTTAAAATAGGGATGAGTGCCTCCAGTGTGCTACAAAATGATTGCTTTTCTCAGGTGAAAACAATATTCCTGTCAATGTGCATTGGCTTTGACCTTACTTGGTTGAAGGCTAATTTCTGAAGTTACTTAAGAACTTACCATTGGTATAGATAAATTAGCCTAATCTTCAATTTCTTCATCTGTAAAATATAGTCATACTCACCAAGGTATGATAGTGAAATTAGACATCAAGTTTTGCATTGCACTGTCAATAAATGTTCACTCCTCTCCTTTTTGTGAGCACATTATTGAGGATAAAGGGAATGCAGGGAACAGGTATCAGTTGTCTACTATTTACCCATCAATAAGTCCTGAGAAGTACCACAGATAAATTGTTCAGAGTTTTCTTTCTCTTCAAGAATTTGGGAGTACCAATCTCACATGAAGAACACCAATCAATGTAGCATTCCCTCAGTTTACAAAGTTAGTAATTTATATGACTAACTGCCAGATGATCAGTGCTTATTTAAGCTTAGTGGGTTTGTTGCTTTGCCTAGAGGACCAAGAATTTTTTTTGACATACTGAGAAAGGACAACATGGGCCACCCAATGTTGAATGCCTTTTAAAAAGTTAGTGAATATATTAAACAACTTTTATACCAAATCATGAGTTCAGCAAATTTGGACAGGCTAGACTGTCAATATATTATTTGTATTTTATTTTTTTATACAGGGAAATTTGAGATATAGACAAGTATAAGGAATAAAATCAAAATAATTTCTAATCCCTCTGCTGGGGAAATAACCACTAATAAAGTGTACATTTATTTCTGTATAATAGTAATCTTGGAATCTTGATTAAAGTCATATGTCAATAAAAGAACAAACAGTTCTGGTTTTTATAGAACACCAAGAGATGGTGCACATTGAAAATAAACTTTCCCCAAAGATTGGGATTATTAATCAATACAGTATCAATTAACTCTGAAGAAATCTGGTTTTCCATATTTTTAATGGATTTTAATGGAGCAATAGAGCTGAGCAGAAACATGGTGATATATTCCTAACCTTTATAGGTATACTTCAAGAGCGTCAGACAAGTGTTTCAATTTATTTTTTATTGTCCGTATCAGTGACAAAGTTGATTCCACTATGATTCTGCTTGCACCAGATGAAATCTTGTTACATTTCTTATGAATTTGGGAATTACAGTTCATTAAAATAGCCAAGATCATTACATTGTTTTTTTCCTCATAGTCAGAGGTCTATGTACTACATATTTTAATGCAGAACTTTGCTCTCTTTGATTTACTTTCCAGCAATGGCTGTATTCCCGATAGTGTTGTTTCTGGCTGCTGTGCTGCTTCCATCTTTACCCACAGAAGCAAAGGTAAAGTTAAATTTTAAAATCTTTTTAAAGCTATCCAGGTATCTTTCGGGATGGCTAGGTCCTTTGAGAGTAGAAGGGGCAAGAGTGGACATCACAAAGTACTGATTGGTAGCTCAGATCCCTTAACACTATTATCTAGATGATATTCTAAGGCTGAGCTCTCCAATACAGCAGCCACTAGTCATATGTGGCTAATGAATACAATGTGGCTTGTCCAAAACAAGATATACTGTAAGTATAAAATACACACTAGATTTTAAAGATGTACTACTGAAAAAGAAGGAGGAGGAGGCGAAGAAAATATATTCAATAACTAACTTAGATATTCAATACTCGATGGAATTATATTTTAGATAATTAAATAATGTATTAGGTCTAAGGGCTGTTGTAAGAAATAAATGCAAGCTATGTGGCTTAGAACAACAGAAATTTATTCTGTCACAGTTCTGGAGACCAGAAGCTTAAAATTTAGATGTCGGCAGGGCCACATTCCCTCTGGAGGATCGAGAGGGAAATCTGTTGTCTGTTTTCCTTTAGCTTCAGGTGGCTTCCACCAGTCACTGGGATTACTAGGCTTGTGGCTATATCACTTACTCTCTACCTTCCCTTCTCCTTTCTGTGTCTCTTATAAGGGTACTTGTCGTTCGATTTAGACCCTACTTGAATAATAATAATCTTGAATAATCCAGGATGATTTAATATTGAGATCCTAAACTTAATTATATCTACAAAGACTCTTATCTAGATAAGGTCACATGGACAGAATCTGGGGATTAGGACGTAGACATACAATTTTTGTAGACTTCTAGTCAACTCATTACAAATAAAATTTATTATTTAAAATAATGTGAATACAGTAAAAAACCATACACCACAATAGGGTAGCATTTATTTCCAGGATGCAAGTGTGGTTCAATATTTGCAAAACAATCAATGTGAATCATCATGTGATTAAGAGAAAAGATAAAAAATATACAATAATTTCAATAATTCTAAAAAAAATATTTGACGAAGTACAACA